TAGAAGATATGTTAAAACACATTAGAATTTTTGCCTTCTGAGTATTAAAAAGTCAGATGGCGTACATATTTTAAATATTACTGAGCAATGAAATGGTTACTTTGTTTAGTTCCCTGACATTTGTTGCCATCTAGTGTGGCATTTGGGTATTACATGCTAAGTAGAAGGAATTATATATTTACATTCACAGTGGCAGTGAAAATGCCTGAGGATTTTATGAGAAAATAAATATAGAACTTGAGAAGTATACAATGTCATGCATAGATTATTGTATGGAACTACCTTGGATAAACTCCCTACTCTTCCACTTTCTAGGTCTCTGATTTAGGCAAGTTACTGAATATCTCAAAGTACCAGTTTCTTCAACTGAGTGATAAGAACCAATTAAAATGTATTGAGAGGGTTACATAATCCATATATACCACTTGGCAATATATCTGGCACATAGTCAGTGCTCAATACATGTTTTTGTTTGAAAATGCAAGTTATTTCAATTGATGATAATTTTAAAAGAGTAAAAAAATTCACCTGGGACTAAATGGTGAGAAAAGTAGAGGCTTTTGTAGTGACACTTGGGGAAGGCGAGCCAGGAGAAGCATATAAAAAGGTTAACTGGGCCTTTGACCTGCCTGCTTACGCTGGAAGGGAAACTGTTGAGAGGTATATGGAAAGGCCTGAAGGCACAGGCTTTGGCATGAATTTACCGTAAGCATATCTGTAATGACATAACCCTCTAAGGAAAAAAAAATTTTTTTTAAATCATAACAAATTGAGCAAAGTATTTATTTCAAATTTGCTAAGACCTATCCTGCTATATACCTTCATGGGAAAGTGGTGTGAGCTTAAAAAAAATTATTATGTATACACAATAATTGTACATATTTATGGGTTACACGTGATATTTTGAAGATTAATTTTTTAAGCAGCAACCTGGTAGATTGAACAAATATTTACAAACACCTTTTCCCCCTTTTTCAAATATCCGTATTATTCTGTTTCTTGAATTACAGGGAGCCAGAAAGGCAGGAATTAGAAGCCTGGATTAAAAAGAAAATCAGAAAAGTTTTGAGTATTTGGTTGTAGTCACAAGTATAGGAAATAATGCTTCTTGATATGCACATTATCTGTCACAAAACAAAAACAAAGTATAAATATCTTGAAAATGGTACATAGGGATAGACTGGTAAGTTTCTGGTTAGCAAGGGTTTATAAATTAAAATCAATAGTTTGCATTCATCATAAATTAGATGCCTAAAATGTGTTAATCTTTTTAATTTTGTGGGGTTTATTACATAAAAATAAAAACATTTGCAAACTTTTAAAGTTCATGTTCGTAAGTGTGAGCTGTATATTTTTCATAAGATCTTAATTCCTTAGTTATTTATGAATTATTTTGTCACAAGGATTCCTTAAAAACTAACCCTAGCAGTTGGGAAGGACTCTAATATCATCTACAGTAGGTTTCCTGTTTTAAAATTTTAGTTGACTTGATATAAATTTTGTTTTGGAAAATATTTTGACTACTTAAGATAGTAGTGTCTACCCTTTGGTTTAATAAAACCAGAACTGGCTGTGTGCGGTGGCTCACGCCTGTAATCCTAGCACTTTGGAAGACCGAGGTGGGTGGATCATGAGGTCAGAAGTTTGAGATCAGCTTGGCCAACGTGGCGAAACCCATCTCTACTAAAAATACAAAAATTATTCGGGTGAGGTGGTGGGCGCCTGTAGTCCCAGCTACTCAGGTGGCTGAGGCAGAAGAATTGCTGGAACCCGGGAGGTAGAGGTTGCAGTGAGCCGAGATTGTGCCATTGCACTCCAGCCTGGGCACCAAGAGCAAGACTCCATTTCAAAATAAATAAATAAATAATAAATAAATAAAACCAGGGCTGGGAATATCAAGTCTAAGAAACTGTGTTTGAAAAGTGTTAATATGTCAACATAGAATGACCACACATAAAGAAATTTCCCAGAAAAGAAAAGGTTCCTTCAGGAATGAGTCTGCTGGTTGGGGGGAGTGTATAATTCCCTAACTTCCCAAAACCTACAGCCATTTCCACCAAGGAAGGGACTGTGCTCAGGCAGAGGGAGAGAAGCCAGGACTTAGGTCTACTGAGAGAAATAACAGCCACAGACCTCAAATTAACTTTGTCATCTATAAAGATCTATCATTTAATGGTAATCAACAGTTTACTGACAGCCTTTGAGAATTCAGTTACTATAAAGATCTATCTGTTGGGCGTGGTGGCTCACGCCTATAATCCCAGCACTTTGGGAGGCTGAGGTGGGTGGATCACCTGAGGTCAGGAGTTCGAGTCCAGCCTGATCATATGGTGAAACCCTGCCTCTACTAAAAATACAAAAATTAGCTGGGCATGGTGGGAGGCACATGTAATCCTAGCTACTTAGGAGGCTGTGGCAGGAGAATTGCTTGAGCCCAGGAGGCGGAGCTTGCAGTGGGCTGAGATGGAGCCACTGCACTCCAGCCTGGGCGACAGAGCGAGACTGTCTCAGAAAAAAAAAAAAATCTTTCATTTGGTAGTTGACTGTTTACTGACCTACCCTTTGAGAAGTCGGTTATTATGTCCTTACTGAATGGTTAGAGGGGTACTCAGTCGACAGGGGTTCTGGAAACCAGGAGAAGAAACTCTAGAATTAAGAGAAAGCTTTAATGGAGATACTGTATAAATATTTGTTTGGTAGACCAAAATCTTTTAGTATGTGGTGTCCATTGTAGAGTTATCTTTCGAAAGATTAAATCATTTTTTTGATTCCAAGTGTTACTATGCTTTTCTATTTTCTTCATTGTGGCCAGGCATATATGTCAAAAATCAAAGCAAATAAGGGTAAAAGCTATTTTATAGTATGAAATCATTGGTTACACACTAAGCAACATCAATAACCGGTTTTTGTTTTGTTTCATTTTGGTTTTTGGTTTTCTTGGAGTGGAGTCTCGCTCTGTTGCCCAGGCTGGAGTGCAGTGGCACCATCTTGGCTCACTGCAACCTCAGCCTCCTGGGTTCAAGCAATTTTCCTGCCTCAGCCTCCAAAGTAGCTGGGATTACAGGCACCCACCACCACACTCAGCTAATTTTTGTATTTTAGTAGAGACAGGGTTTCACCATGTTGGCAGGCTGGTCTCCAGCTCCTGACCTCAAGCAGTCCACCTGCCTCAGCCTTCCAAAGTGCTGCAATTACAGGCATGAGCCACCATGCCTGGCCAATAACCAATTTTTTTTGTATTCAGTGTTTTGTTGCTCCTTACTCGTCATCACCCATGGGTGGTGGCTAGTCCTAATAGAGGGAGGACCATCCACTAAACCAAGGCTTCAGCAGTGGTTTTGTTTACATGATTTTACAGCTTCTCACTTTGTGCTTTTCTCTCTATCATCCTATCTTGGTGAGTTTTTGTTTAATGAAAAACTTTCTGACTGGATATATTGGTTTATATTAAGTAATCATTTTATCTATCCATAGTATTCATTATATGAGGGAAAATTATGAGCATTTACTGTGCTCATGTGAAATATTTCTCACAAGAGCAATTACACTGTGAATCAGAAAGAGTGACTAATTCATATTTCAAGCCCTCAGGCCTTAAATTATAGAAAAAGTATGCTTTTTCATTTATTTGAAAATGGAATTTAAAATTTCCTTTTCCAGGCATTCTCAGCTAGAATTTGGACTTGGGACTATCTCCCTAGGAGAATCATTTTTAGTCATTGTATTTGTTTATTAGTCAATCTGAGACAATTGAATTTTACCTTTAAATTTTATGCTTAGAAGAATAGAAACTTTTCAGAAGATACCAGAAGAAACTGGAGTTTAATGCTTTCCAGATAAGGAGAGGGAAATTCACATATCCTAGATATTTATTGTCTGTATTTATTATAGCGCTCACCAGAGGGAAGCATAACTATGCATAAAACTGACAGTACTTACTGAGGCCATTTCCGTCGCCATTAAAATCAAATGTGACTATGAAACTTATAAGCACACATGTAAGTCATGAGACCTGGGGTTCTTTCTTCCAATTCAGGAGAAAAGATAGGTTGGGTGAGATGGATATTGTACATAAGGGCCACTGGAATAAGACTATAAGATCCTATAGTACCTTATTTTTATGAGGATTTTTACAAATTGGGATTTTACTATACAATCTCTGCATGTAACTAAATTACACTTGTACCCTATACATTTATACAAAAAAAACCTCCCAAAATTGGGATTTTGAAGTCGTATTTTATTATCTGGTATTACACATAAAGATATTGTAAAAGTGGCCAAAATGAAGTTAGGGTGTTTTTATTTCATTAAATGCAAGTGGGAAATTTAGAATAAAGGACAATTATGAGCTTTACCAGAAATGAAGGATCTTCATAAAACTAAGTAGTGAATACTGTTTTGAGCCTTTCCATTTAACTTATGATTATTACATAATTTTGACTTTAGTTGTATATTTAAGGAAAGGGAACTAAATTTTGCCTTAGTTATACTTAAGGAAACTTGAATATTATATAGTATTAAACACAAGATGCCTGTGTTTAATGATATGGTCAACATTTCATTTTACTATTTGGATCGATCTATCATTTGAAGTATTCCAATAAATTTTATCCATCAACAAATAAGAAATCAGTTAAATTGGATATTTATTTCATGTAATATAAACATGATATATAATTGAAAATATTAGAATAACTGGTTTTTCTGGTTCCCTTTTTCAAAATTCTGACTCATCTGTGGCCCTCATCAAGGTTCATTACCTGAATTTTGTCATTAATTAATAGGGCTTTAATCATGGAAATTGAAATATGTCAATAAATGTAACATCTGGATATTCTTTTGGGTCAATAAGTAGTATTGATAAACAAATACGAAGTTATTCTAATGGGCTTTATAGTGAATTTTAACTATTTTAAATACCATTAAAGCTTAATTATCTCATTTTCCCCTTGTTGTTTTTAAATTCTCAACTCCCCATTCAACCTTTTATATCCTAGCAGGCTTTAATCCAGTGTGACCAGTTGAGGAACGAGCTGGAGAGGCAGGCAGAGCGACTGGAAAAAGAACTTGCATCTCAGCAAGAGAAGAGGGCCGTTGAGAAAGATATGATGAAAAAGGAAATCACAAAAGAAAGGGAGGACATGGGATCAAAGGTACTTAAGGACTCCAATATTATCCACATTGCATAAGAAATGTTTCTTGTGATGCCATGGATGATTCCGTAGGCTGGAGTTCTTGAATGAACTTTAAATTTTTTCATTGTTATTGTGTAAGTAGTTAAGTTTCTTATAATTTAGAGTTCATAAAAATGTTATTTTTTTCATATGCTTCTCATTCATTTATTCTGACCTCTTCCAATAAAATAATTAGATTTCATACTATGAAATTATAAAATTTACTTTAAATCCTGAGATTCTGTTTGATTCTTTTTTCTCTCGTGTTTCCCAGAGGAGTGCTATGAAGTTACTCAGATTTTATTTCAGCCTTGGCTACAATAAAGAGGTGACTCCCCTGCTTAATCTCCTAGCCCTAAATTAAACATGCAGAAGATAAAACACTTGTAAGAAACTGAGTAACTAAGAAAAAGTGATTATAGACTCTGTATGAAATCAGTTCTGACAAGTTACATCGTCGATAACGACCGTAACCAGATGAAGGGAAAGATTTAAGGCAAAAGGTACAGATAACATGAAATGAGCAGTGTTTGAAAAAGAGTTCACAAAACTAGAATAGAGAGTTGAGTGGGACCTAGCTTTAAAGTTGCTAACTAGACTAGAATTGAGCAAGTTGTGGTCCATCGAGTAACCAAAACAACTGTGTTACATGTTTGTTTTTAAAAGTGGACTCACAGCTTGTACTCTTAAATGCTATGTTGGTGTAAGATTCCAGTGTGTGATAATCAACTCATTCAGTGAACGTATACTGAGCATATGTGCTGGGTACAAAGTAGTGTGCAGGCCTAAAGATATGGAAAGAGAAAAATCGCCACTTCTGCCCAGTGAGTTTTAAGTCTTATGAGTAAACTGAGGCATTTCCTGTAAACTTCTTACCAGTTTTGAAAACTGCAGCTGTCAAAACCCACAGCCTTGCAGATGCCGCAGCTGTGCATCCAGGTCTTCAGTGTCCACAGCTCTTTCAGCGCTTTCCAGCAGTCCTCTTGCTTTCCTCTCTCTTCTTCATTCCACAATCACCAGATACTAACTGAAGGGGCTGGGAATGTCGTAGTCACGGGAACAACGCAGCTTCCTCATAAAGCCTACGAACTAGTAGGAGAAGTAGCCGGTACAGAAATAGTTTCCTAAGTGAGCTTTTGTCATAGTTGCAATAAAGCTGCCAAGTTCTGTTCAGGGTACTGTGGGAATGTGTAACGGGGGATCTGACCTAGTCTAGGCAGTCACAAAACACTTTCCTGAGACAGAGATTTTGAAAATGAGACCTGAAAGCATTGATGAGTGGTCAGGTGAAAAGGGGAAGAGGGTTTTGGGCCCAGGAAAATAACACACCCAAGACTGGGGGACCTGGAAAGTATCGCACTTCCTAGGCATTTGGAGAAGGCCCCGATGGCTGGAGCACAGAGAGGGACAGAGTAGTGGGAATGAGTTTGCAGAATTGGGCTGGGACAGAATCATGAATGGCTTTAAAATCCATATGAAAGATGTAAAATTTTGTCCAAAAAGTGATGGAAAGCCATTGAATGACTTTAAATTGGTCAGTGTCATGATGCCATTTATGTTTGAGAAGAATCATTTCGTCAATAGATTGGAAGGAGAAACAGAATAGGTGCCTAGAGATCAGCTGGGAGGTGATGATCGTAGTCCGGGTGGAAAGTGATGGTATCTTGAATGTATTTCTTTAAGGACGATTTCAAATCCCTTGTTCTTCTCAAATTCTCTGAAATACAGCTTTCCCCCTTATTCTCAGCAGAGAGCCTTACTTACTTAACAAAGAAAATTGAAGTCATTAGGTGTTAACCACCTCAACTATTGATCTTACCCATGCCTTAAAATACATTTTCCCCTGTATTCCAACCCAGTCTGAATGGGAAAGACTTCTTCCTGACCCTTTTCCCTTCATGTGCGTCCCATCTCCTTTCTCCCCTTCGAGGAGCTCATTCCATTTGTCCACTCTGCTTTTCTGAATCAGTCTTTCCTTCACTACAGCCTCTTTCTTATCATCAGGAAAATACTTTCAAATTTCTCTTACTGTTGAACAAAACAATCTTTCTTCTCATCTGTGTTTCTTAATTTTTGTTACACAAGAAGTTCTAAAAATCCGATTGTCCAAACAGTACCCCAAACCAATGACATCGAAATGTCTGAGTAGCATTCAGGCGTCGGGAATGGCGAAAGCTACCCAGGTGATTCCAATGGGCAGCCAAGGTTGGAAACCACTTCAGTGATTCCATCTCCCTCTATAACTCTTTCTCTTAGTGGTCAAGCTTCTTGAAGGATTTGTCCATACATGTTGTCTTTATTTTGTTACCTTTCACTCTTCAGCCCACTGCATTTCAGCCTCTGTGCCACAGCCAATGAAATTACAACTGCTATGTTCACTAAAGAGCTGCTTGTGCTATATTTGCTGATTTTTTTTTGTAGTCTTACTTTCCTTAAAAGGTACTTTTTCCGGGCCGGGCGCGGTGGCTCAAGCCTGTAATCCCAGCACTTTGGGAGGCCGAGGCGGGTGGATCACGAGGTCAAGAGATCAAGACCATCCTGGTCAACATGGTGAAACCCCATCTCTACTGAAAATACAAAATATTAGCTGGGCAGGGTGGCGCGTGCCTGTAATCCCAGCTACTCGGGAGGCTGAGGCAGGAGAATTGCCTGAACCCAGGAGGCGGAGGTTGCGGTGAGCCAAGATCGCGCCATTGCACTCCAGCCTGGTTAACAAGAGCGAAACTCTGTCTCAAAAAAAAAAAAAAAAAGGTACTTTTTCCTTGATTTCTTTCAATTCATATTCTTGATTTGGGAGAACGATGATGTATGTCTTTTACATTACTCTAAGTTTAAAGTACTTTAAGGCAAAGAAGGAAACCATCCAGAAAGCAGCTTGATAGAAGGATCTAGAGTTTAGCAGGGAGCTAAAGATTTAGGTGTCTTTAGCAGTACTGTGGCTTGAATTCCATGTATATATATAGTTTTAGGAACTAAAGCTTCAGGACTAAAGCTATTTGATTTCTAAATCTTTAACTGAATACTGAGCTCCAAAACCAGCTTTACTTGCTACCTTCCCTATCCCAGGAGACCCTATTCATTCGGTTACCCAGCACAGAAATCTTGTCACCCTTTTCTCCCTGCTCTTTCTCACGCCACACATCTTATCATCACCAGGTTCTAAAACTTAAGACCCTAAGCGTTTACATTGCCCTGTCTCTCCATCCTGCTGCTCCCCACATCTCATCCTTGGGTGGTTCCCACAGCCCCTGTGGTGTCCTCACCTCCAGCCTCACCTTCCTCTCTGTTCTCTGAGCCACAGCTGGGACGATCCTTCTCATGTGAACATCTCAGTACGTCAGTCTCTTAATCCTTTCACGTCTCCCTGCAGTCCTGGATACAATTTAGGATCCTTTAGCATAGCGTAATGACTACAATATTCTTTCTCTCTTTGGCTCTCCAGTCTTATCTTCCTTCATTTTTCTCCTTTGCACCCTCACCACACTGACTGGCCTGCTTGTACTTCCCCAAGCATGAAAATATGCCAATCTTCCATACTGTTTTTTTTTTCAGTGCAGGATTCTGCATGTGCTTTGCCCCCTGCCTAGAGGAATCTTCCTCTGCCCTCTTTAACGGATTCTTCAGAGTTGTTTGTTTGTTTGTTTTTGAGACAGGGTCTCACTCTGTCACCCAGGCTGGAGTGCAGTCGGGTGGTCCTGGTTCACTCAGCCTCGACCTCTCAAGCTCAGGTAATCCTCTTACCTCAGCCTCCCAGATAGCTGGGACTACAGGAGTGTGCCACCATGCCCCGCTAATTTTTTGTATTTTTTTGTAAAGACAAATGTTTGCCATGTTGCCCAGGCTGATCTTGAACTCCGAGGCTCAAGCGGTGCCCCCTCCTTGGCCACTCAAAGTGCTAGGATTATAGGCGTGAGCCGCCTCACCTGGCCCAGGGTTTTTCTTGGTACCACCTCCTCTCAGAGCCCCCTACAGCTGAATTGGGATCCTCTCCTATGGGCTCTCATAATTCAGTTTATTACAAATTCTTGTTGAATAGTTTGCCTTCCCTAATTCAGTATGTGTCCTCTGCATGTAGCATCCTCGTTGCCTGGCACATTCCTCTCTCATGTAAAATGTGCTCAGTATATGTTTGATGAATGAAATAAATGAATTACAAGGAAAAGAAAAATTGGAAAGGTCTGACTACAATGCTGAGAGTTCAGAGGATCAGAACTGCTTGTCTGCAAGAGATCATGGAAGGCTTTGCGAAAAAGATGGCATTTTAATGGAGCTTCCAAGAAGAGGCAGGGTTTAGAAACTCAGAGTATGGGGGAAGGAATGCTGCCTGTAAGCAATCTGGATGAGACATGGAAGGGAGATGAAGCTGTGAATTGAGTGTTGGTGTGAGAGAGAATGGTATCAATAGCAAAGACCGGGTATTGGTCACACCTAGGAAATTTTTATTTTTTGATTGTTTGCTGGAAACTATTTGCCTTGCTGAGTAATTTAGAAGTATGTGATGAGGATTCCTGATAAGAAAGGAAGAATGAAGGCTGAAGTGTACCTCGCAGTGTTCCAGGTGCTTTCATATGTGACAGAACCTCTCTCTTCTACTGACAGTTGTTGCATGAATAAAGATGGTGACAGAAATGCAGCATATTTTTTTATTTATTTATTTATTTTTAACTTTTATTTTACATCCAAGGGAGTACATGTGCAGGTTTTTTATGTGGGGATATTGCATGACACTGAGGTTTGATTTACAGATCATCTTGTCACCTACTACATGAGCATAGTATACGCAGTAGTCAGTTTTTCAGCCCCTGCCTCCCTCCCTCTCCTCTCTAGTCATCCCCAGTTTCTATTGTTGCTGTCTTATATCCAGGAGTACCTATTGCTTAGCTCCCACTTGTAAGTGAGAACATGCAGTGTTTGATTTTCTGTTCCTGCGTTAATTCAGTTAGGACTGTGGCCTCCAGTTGCATCCCTGTTGCTGCCAA